GTCACATACCAACAAAAATAAAAAAATTTTTGGTATGGCGGAAATCTCATTTACAGATTGTAGGATACTCTCAAACGTAATAACTTCATTTTGTGCATCACGAAGATGGTGGCTGCCACCTTCACTAAGAAAGATTAAAGCAAATGATGCTACTTTGGAATGATCAACTTCTTTCAAAGCTTTCAGTAAACACTGAAATGATAGTTTACTGATCTGAGTGAAATAGAGAACAGAAAATCCAAGATCCTTAAGAACTTCCTGTAGATCAGAGCCTTTTCCTTCATGATTGTCAATGATGATAGCAAAATGAGTCTCTATACAAAAATAATAATTAATTGAAATTATCACACTATCTATAAAAATGTACTGGCATGCTATATAGTTTATGGTTTTTTTACTTGCTATAGTCAAATTATAGAAACTTGAAAAAAATTAATCTACTGAGCTTCAACTAAGTTTCATATGGTATGCAATATAATAAGACAAAAACAAAAAAGGCCTTATGTGTTATAAAATATTAAAAAAAGCAAAATGTCGAAAATTCAACAATTTTAAATTTGTCTATATAATACATGCAAATATGAAATGACTTACTGTAATTCAAGGTAAGTCTTGAAAAATGATGTTTATCTTTAATTTCGTTGCAGCATAATCTGAGAAGCATGTATAACCAATTCGAAGGTAGAGGGTGCTGCTGATGATGAATGCTCTTTTTACGAAACCCAGCTGGTACAACACGATCTTCTTTTATTTTAATATGAAAATTTTCTATCAAAAACTTGGAGATTTCTTCTGCCCTTTCTTTGACCCTACAATTGAATCGTTTTTTCAAATTTTCTAATAAAACTTCCTCATTTTCATCTTGCTCATCATCCGAATCATCATAGACTGAACAATCTTCAGCATTAGCAAAAGTGAGAACAAATATTACTCTCTCAAAAAATTCTGAGCCAAAGGCTTGATGAAGCTTACGCATAGCAACCTCATCGTCATTTTTGAATCTATGTTCCCCCATTTTAATGCAGTAGAGGACTAAACTGACTGTCTGGCCATCATTTTTCATTTCTTGGATTGCTGTTTGCTCTTTGCTATTACGATCTTGGAAACCAACAGTATCAATTAGAGTAACATTGAGCTCACCAACACGCAATGAAAACTTCTCAATCGTTTTTGTGCAGCCCTTTCCTTTAGAACTTTCGTTAGCTTTCTTCTCCTCAAGAATACTGTTGACGAGTGCCGATTTACCAGTTCCAGTAATTCCAACTACAAGAACATCTATATTTGTTGAGATTTTATCTGATCCAATCTCTTTAAGAACATTTCTGAATGTCGGCATAGATCTTTTTTCACCTGAAACAAAAATTTGTTTTATAAAACACTTAAAAACTTATTTCTAAGGCCACAGAAATCACGGTTTCTCATTATACAGGTTGGATAGTGATGGGTGCCTTGGGTGGGCTACAAGGAGCCCTGGAAATAGAAGTGTAGCAACTGGGCAATTATTACATTGTACATGTAACGTATTAAGACCTCATTTACACGAATACGCTGGCCTAATCTGCATCGTTTTCTGCTATGACTGTTTTCAGGTGTTTACACTAATCCAGCAGCTGCATTTTTATTAGAATTTATATTTTTTTAACAGAAGTATTTGTTTGGTATTCTTTTTTTGTTCAGAATCTGTTTTCTTGTGTTTTAGTGTAAACGGAGGCCCTTATCTGACCAAAAATATATCCGTTTTACTTTAAAACGTAGTCATGTAAACCAGGCCTAAAATAGAATAATATAAATGGCTAACATGCATGAGGTGTTTCTCTTGCTAATCTACATGCATAGGTGCTTTTAACAAATTTCTCAACACTTCCTAATTACTAAGCAGTGAAGCTGTATTCTCATTATATTCTACCTAAGCCAAACTTCAAAGACACCGCAGTGCAGTGCTGATAAATAGCTCAGTTATACTGCACTAGGGCATGATAAATCCCTTAGATGCTTGATATAAGCACTAATGTGGTTAACAGTTTACATAGTGCAATAGATCTTTGAAATATACCTTAAAAAATAAAATATAGTAATTTGAAAAAAGAGCGATATAAATAAACTTGTCAATAAACAGAAGGACTCCAGCAACTCAGTGGGGACTGACACCCCCAATAGTGGTCGTTTTGCTACAATTATATTGCATGACAGGCAGAGTTGGAATCATTGAGCATCTATGAGATGCCAGAGAATTCAGCTACAAGCAGTCATCGGCCACAAATAGTTGATAACATAATGAAGGCTCTAGGAAAAGGTGTTGGATCATAGTTGAGTCATACAGCATCATCTTACACGGCCATGGAATTAGTAATGAAGAGGAAAATTTCTATGGTAATCTAAGTTAATGTTGATACTCCTAGGGGTCTTCTTTGGGCTGCCATTACTGTTGAAAGTACTATAATGTTCCATTTCAAATTCTTCTCTTTCTCAGAGCAGCCATCTCCTTGCCTCCTTCATATCCTACTGGGTTGTGGTAAGTAGCATGTGGCACCTGCGCATGCGCAGTATGTGAAGTTTGGCTTAGGCAGGGGCATAATTTGTTATAACACCCCCACTCGGCATATATGACATTTATCAGCACCTCGGGCTCAGTGCTGATAAATGTGATATATCCTTCGCTGGGATGTTATAACATATACTTATAAATGTTCATATATTTTATGAAATAATGCCCACAAATGATTATATACAAAATGTGGAAAGCTTCATGGTGCGATTTGTGCATCATTTCACCATTTAAAATCACTTTTCCTGGCTACCAATATAATGGATTATTTTTGTGATGCTTTACTTTTTGTGGTTTCCATGGTTTTATAGGCACATACCATGGGGATACTAAAAGTAGCTTAAAGGGACACATTCACGGAAGCATGTCATCTCAAAAAACTGGCCACTTTTTAAAAATGACGTGCTTCTGTGAATGTGTCCTTTTAATGAGTAAATTTTGCCATAAAAACAAAAAATGGGTGTGGCTAAAATTATGATGTGCTTCATGTGTACCTGCTTTATTCCTGCATATGCCTATTAGGCATGTACCAACAAATTAAAACCAACAGAATTATTGAAGTGCCATCCTCTAATTAAAACCACAAAATAAAAATGACCATTCTAATTTTGTCCACTATACCATAGTTTAAATTCAATTTGAGTACAAAATTTTCATGCAACTTAAAAACACATAAATGTATAATACCATACATGCATCAGAAAAAATTATTAAAATGGAAAATTCTCTCTAGGAGCCTACATGTACCGGTATGTAGGCATTGAATTAAATGTATTCTCAATAAATAATGGCAATAATCAAGTTTTCCTAAGTGAGCTAAAAAGCATGCTTAATGAGCTGACAAGCACCCCAATAAAATAGTATATGGCTTTTGGAGCAACTTTTAAAAAATATATAAAATCCTACACAACTTAAAACATGTATGAGAAAAATTATAATAATGGAAAAATCTCACATAGCCATTATTTTTGACAAAAATTGGCTAAAGATGGAACTTTGGCTCAATTTTTGAGCAACTTAGGATATTCAAAAAATCCAAATTTGGCCAAAGATCCTGTGCTGTAGTACAGGCCTATACCCAATTTTTAAGCAACTTTATATATTTATAAAAAATCCAATTTTGATTGGAATTAGCTCAAATTTTAATGCAATACAAGAACATGCATATGCATCAACAAATCATAAAAATTATTAGTAAATGACACTTTATTGAATTTAAAATGTACTGGCAAGGTGCTGAGCAATATGCCACAAAAATCCTGTGGGAAACTCTGGCAATAAGAAACGATGTGAACATACAGACACATGCACGTGTAAGTAAGCAGTGAACAATGAAGTAAAGCAACAATACACCAAACTTAATCACTTTAGTTGCTATTATGCTTTGTGTGTTATACATACATATTAAAATGAATTCAATGTTAATAAAACAACACTATGTGTAGTCTGTTCTGTTAAATACATTATTAGTCATACCATTTTGTTCACAAGAGCCTGCTTGACTTTCATTAGAGACTGAGGCAGAATTAGGGTCAACTATTTTTTTTTAAATGAAATTACAATCAAGATTAATAATATTATATGTCATTTACCAGGAAGATTCTCCTCTCCTATACTACTCATGCCTACATCAACAAAAAAGAGAATGCGGTAACATGGTACACATACATTGCATGCAAAAATAACTGAAAAAATGTGAATAAAATTTAAGCCTTATATAATACATTTGTAATTTAATGGGAACAATTAGCTTCATAACTTAAAAATCAGTACATAAAATTGCCTGAGTTATTACTGATACATATCTATAGACCACCAAGAGAGAGAATTGCAAAAGCTATGAATTTCATTAATTTTATACACAGTATCCACCCACACACTATAATTGGCTGTCATTTTGGTTGGCAAGTTTGTTATGGAAGTCAATTAAGGCATGGAGAAACTGCCTCACTTACCTGCTGTAGCACAATCAAAAGCTGAAAAGTGCTTGTTATAAGAAATAATAGCTGCTTTTAAGCTTCTCCTGTAAAATATTTGGTGAAATTTGCTCCAGAATTCGTAATACGGTTATGTCGGCCCGTTTGTTCTCCAATTAAAAGTTGCTAACCAAAATAGCCTTACTACTGTAATAATCTTCCCATGCAAGCAATTCTCACTTCAGGTGGATTGTAGTACAGCCACCGGTTAGTAAAGCAATCTGTGCAAAATAGGATATGCATTTAGACTAGCCTAGATCATGGATAGTAGAGGGCATGGATTGGAAACACGCAATAGCACTGTAGTATAGGCATGTTTCAGGTGTTATGTAAACAATTTAATCAAACCATAGATATTAGAGTTAAAAGGAAAGGGATAGGAAACCACTGTTCCTGGCAGAAAATGATCTTCACCTGTACCACATTAACTCTACGGTATAGCGGGTTTCTTTTGTTCGGCCAAACTTTCGTTTTTTAGGGGGAAATCCAACTTTGTGGGTTTTATTTTCGTCCTTCTGATCTGCAAGAATTAAGCCACACCCAACAACCCCACCCATAACACCCATGTGTGCATGTGTTAGTGCTAACCCGATGAAGATGAACTCTGGATCGAGCTCTCCCAAAGCAAATTTTGTGGGTTTAATTTTCGTCTTTGGAGCTTGGAGAACGAAAAGAACAAAAGTTTGACTGAACGGAAGAAACCCGCTACATGGTAATCACTTTTAATGAATAATCAGTGTAAAGGAAATTTGAAAACAAGCTATTGACATTGTTGACAGGTCTATGATGACAGGCCTTTTCTGAATACCAGTCATCAGAAGAGAAACTATCCCTCATACAATGTAGTATTTTCAGCAGTATTGTTCTTGAAGTAGCATTTTTCCTGCTTTTCACAAAAATTACTACCAACAAGATAGTTAGAGTTATTGAAAACAGCCTTAGATCAAGAAAATGAATAAATAGTTTTAACTTTTCACTGTGTTGTAATGTAGATTTTTGAAAATACCTCTGTTATCTCCATAATGGCAATAGGTATTACAGTAGTGTTTTGCATGGTGACAGTAGCGTTTTGCATGGTGGGTGTAGTCACGACACGCCCGTACCTCTGTTTAATTAAATTTTTAGTTTATTGTTTACATAACACCTGAAATGCGCCTATACTACAGTGTTATTGCGTGTTTTCAATCTATATCCATGCCTAGATCTATGCATTAATGAGAGTTAGACTTAGATTTGTCCTTAAATGGTCAACTTTTGTGCAGTAATTATATTTCACACATATCTTTAAGCTAGTAAGGAGTGGCCTGACCCTTGCAAAACGGAGCAAGGGTCAGGCCACGTCTGACTATTTTTAAGCATGGTCTGCCCCCAAATTTAATTAAATAATAGTTATTAATGAAGCTTTGTGGCCTACTCCCAATTTAAGTAAGTGAAGCATAATAATAATAATAATAATTTGCCATCATTTGCTTTGTCTCCATGACTCCAGGACAAAATGGAGATCTGTTGATACCTGTGACGGAGCCCCTTTGGACCTTATAATGACTTAAACCCTTAATTTAACTTTATCCTTATTAACTTATTTTATTTCTATTAACCTAATTATTTATATTTCTATTTTCATTTTTCATCCTGCCCTAGCTTGGTCCTTCTATTTTCATTTTTCATCCAGCACTAACTTTGTCCTAATAGGACAAAGTTAGGAATAGAACAAAGTTAGGGCAGGATGAAAAATGAAAATAGAAATATAAATAATTAGGTTAATACTTAATAGAAATAAAAATAAGTTAATAAAAAGAATGTAAGAAAGTTAGAATTAAATTCTAACTTTCTTACATTCTTCTAGTAATAATAATGATAATAATAATAATAATAACAAAACTATTATTATTATTATTATTATTATTATGAGAGAAAAGGGCAACAAAAAGAGAGGAAATATATAGAAAGGAGGAGAGGGAGAACCCGAGAGAAAGACAAAAAGAAAACAAAATAAACAAAAGTTAAATAGACCCATCCACCTCAGGGGGGAGGAGAGGAGATCTGCAGAGCCACATATGAGCATTAGCTTGCCAAAGCACTACCGAAAGCTTCTGGAAAAGGTGCTGAGTGATCAACCCTGGAGCAGTACCTCAAAGGGAAGCCAGATAATGTCCAATAGTTCTGAATTATTATTATTATTATTATTGTTATTGTTATTAGTTTTGTGGTTTATTTCCTAGTTTGCTGTTTATTTTTCATGATAATAATAATAATAATAATAATAATACTTTGTTTTTTTTGTTTGTTTTCTTAGCTAGTTTTTCTTTCTTTTTTTTCATGTTTCCTGTAGTGAGCTGACTCATCATGACATCACATCAGAACTCATAAATATTCATAAACTATCTTTGTTTTTAATGCATGCTGTGTAATTATTATAATCAGTGTTTGGGTGTCAACACGAGGCATCGTTAGCTCTGTCTCTAGCAGCAATCCTGCCTGCCTTCATGCTAGCCATTAGCCAGCACTCATACATAGCAACCCATTTGTGATTCGATATATTTCCCTTTTGTTTTTCTATTGTCTCCTCCGGGATCTCCCTCTTTCCCCTATTTTCTTCTTTT